AAAAAAAATCGTATTATTAAATTTTTTAATAATATTTAATTTTATTTTAATTTCTTATTTTATTTATTATAATTATCTTTATCTTTTTTTGGTTTATTTTATAATAACTTGTTTTATCTCATTTTATTCTATTAGTTTGTTTTTTATTTTATTTTTTTATTTATTGCTTATTTTATTATATTTTATTTATTTATTAATTTTTTATTTTAATTTAGTGTATTATATTTTAATGTACTTAATTTAATATTTCATTTACTTTAATTTATTTTATTTATTTTATTTTATTTTTTTTTTGTTTTATTTTATTTTATTTGATTTTATTTTGTTTTATTTTATTTTATTTTATTTTAATTTAATTTATTTTATTTTATTTTATTTTATTTTATTTTATTTTATTTTATTTTATTTTATTTTATTTTATTTTATTTTATTTTATTTTATTTTATTTTATTTCATTTTATTTTATTTTATTTTATCTTTTTTTTTCAATTATTCGAAAATTTAACTTAATTTTCGAACCAGAACTAGAACTCTGGCCTTTCGAATGGCAGTACGCAATGCTAGCCACTCGGTCCAATTATGTTTAATAACTTAACAGCAAAATTTCAAAATCAGATCAATTTCTTCTGCAAGTCTTCTTCTTTTCAAGTTGCTCAGGTGCTGCTTCGTTTAGTAATACTCGTAATAATATAGTAGAGGAGCTCAAAGAAGCAAAGTTTCCCTGCCATAAAATCTTGCCTTGTCTCACTTTCTCCGCAGGTACGGCTGCAGCACTTTCCGGCAGACTTTGTGGGCTTTATAAACTTGAAATGCCACCAGCCACACAAAGCAGACAAAGTGCTCGAGGTAACTTAACGAGACCGCACTAATACGGACACAACTAAGGCGTGGATACTGTAGTATACTCCTCTCCTACCGGTCATCAACGACGACGTACTTAACATATGCCCAGCATGCAATGAAAACCCATCGACAGTAACCAATTCTTTGCAAGTCCGTTAGAATGAAGTCATCAGACACCTCTTTCGCTGTCTTTGCGGGACTTAATGTATGGTAACGGTGCGTCTACCAGTGGAAGTCGGATAGAAAAGCATTTTCTTCCAACTCTTAACGTGTCTGTACATCGTTATACCCACTCAAATTTCAGTTCAATGCCTTTTTTTGAATTTCTATAATTTTAGAACTCCTCAACTAATTCAATAAACATAATCTGAAGACGGACAAAACTTACGACGGCTTCGCTACTACACGTAAGTAAAGTTCGGGTAATCGTTTTTACTCCGCAAAAGAATTGTCACAACAGAGTAGGAGAGTGCCTACCGACTGGTTGAGGAACTAGAGTGTGGCTGCTACGGAGTTAGAGGGGTACAGAGCGCATTGAGTGAGCAGAATGTTTGAAGAAAACTTAATGGATGTATTGTCGAAAGCTGATTTACAGTATGAGTAGGGTATACATATTCTTCGGAGTTCTAGGTTCGACTAGTCGGAATGATGTACTTGTGAATAGAGCAAAGAAGAGCTGGTTTGAAGATAGTCTAATAGGTCATTCTAACTGGTAGTGAGCAGTTAATCGGTCTCTGTGGTCTTTAATGGGTCAACCAAAGTCATAATTTATTGCCATGGAGGTTGTGGCGGATGACTGACTTATCGATCCCTTGGTTGAGAAGGGCCACTGGGAAAAGCGTAAATGTCAGTCTAAGCAAAGGTTGAAAAAACTCCGATATGAGCAGCACGCAAATAACGTGGGACTATAAACTTTATAAACAATTTAAATTAAAATAATATCAAAACGCAAAGAAATGACCAATTAAAGTCTCTTCACACACCCAACTTCAAAATTTCCTTCAATGCGCCTAATTATGAATTCATTACAACATCTTAATTAGTACCAAAGCAACCGAAGCTCATAGCCAAGGCATGGCGTGCCAGCTACCCGCTATTTCCGATTTGACCATATTTTCAGTTGCTGAATTCTTCAAGTTTTGCCATTTATATGAATTTTCAATTATTTTACACTCCATGCCCGCCATTCGCCAGCTAAAGTCACAGCTATGCGTTGGTAGTAGTGCCTACATACATACACATATATAACCAGCTGATGAAGAGTTCTTTGTTGTTGCGTTATTTTTGCAATTTTCTTTGCCACATATTTCTGTAATTGTTGTTGTTATGTTTTTGTTATTTTTTTTTTCGCTTAATTTTATTACACTTTGGCTTGGATTGCAATTCAGGTTTCTTTAGTTTATTTTTATTAAATACGCCAAGCCGGTTTAGCTGCGCTACGAAACAACAATCTTCAGCTGAAGCCACAGATGGTGTGGTGAAGAAAAGCAGAAGCAGAAAAAGAAGAAGAAGAAGAAGGCGAAGAGAAGTACTATTTAAAAATACTAACTTTATTGAAAGTAATAAAAAACAAAAAAAAAACTTGTACAGACCAGTTGTTGACTGTTGTTGAAGGCGAAGCAGCTCAAGTATACTTTTATATATTTACTTGTATATATGTACATACACATGTGTGTGTGTTTGTCTGCATGCACTTACACGCGCTTGCCTTGTTTTGATAGCTTTGATAGCGGCAATAGCGAGTTGTGGGCGCCTCTTGTTCGACAGCGACACTATTTAGTGGCGCTCATAAGCCGCTTAAAAGAGTGTACATGACCCAAAGAGGCTTTACAGCAAGTAATTTTTCATTAATATGTGCATGTGTAGTGGGATGTGTGTGTGTGTGTGTATTTGTTACTTGTTACCCAAAGAGCTAACTTGCCAAGATGTGGGTGATCATCTCGTGGATTTAAGAGTGTGAAATTAAGAGCGCAGACAATTTGCGGAATAATCAGTGGAAATTCAAAATTATTTTTACGGATTTCATTTAATTTAGGGCTTTTTATTACACTGGTATTAATTTGGGAGATTATTGTTTAAATTATATTCAAATTTAATTTATTTTGTTTTTTATTTTAATTATTATTTTTTAATTATTAATTTAATAATATTTTTAATTATTTTATTTTTTAATTATTTTTTTATTTAATTTGGTTAAAAAAATTAAAATTAAATTAACTTTACAATAGCTTTTAACTTGACGTTAATTATTTTAATTTACTTTATTAATTAAACTTAATTACTATTTATTTTATATTATTTATTTCAAATTTATTTTGTTTAAATTTATTTCATTATTTCTTCCTTAATTATTTCCTTTTAATTTTATTTCATTTTACTTCACTTGAGTTTGTTATTTTTTTTATTTATTTAACTTTATTGGATATTCTAGCATATTATTTTATTTTCTTATTTTGAATTTATTTTATTTGCTTTGATTTTTTATTCTAACTATTTTATTAATTTTTTTACTTAATTTTAGTTTTCCGACTTGGCATTTCCTTTGGTTTTAATTAATTTAATTTAGTTTAATTTTTTTAGTTGTATTTGATTTTATTATTTGCATTACAGTTTATTTTACTTTATATTGAATTAATATACTTTAATTTTTTTATTTTATTTGGTGTTTTTATAATTTTATTTATTTATATTATGTTAATTTCTTTGATTTTTTTTTAATTTAATTCAATTTAATTTTATTCCCTGTAAAATATTCATTTTTTATATAATTTTTATAGTGTAATTTGAAAGATTTTTTTAAATTTTTAATTTTAATTCATGTTATTTTATTCTTTGAAATCTTTTATATTTTTTTTATTAAAATTTATTATAACTTACTTCAATTCAAATTTTTCCTATTTTATAAGATAACTATCTCAAGTAATTTATCAATTTTAATTTTAGTTTTTATTTAATGTTCCTTTATATTTTGTATTTATATTATTTAATAAAAATTTATCTGATTTTACTTTTTATTATATTTTATTATAATTCATATTATTAAATTTTTTAATAATAATTAATTTTATTTCAATTTTTTATTTTATTTATTATAAATTATCTTATTTTTTTGGTTTATTTTATAATAACTTGTTTTATCTCATTTTATTCTATTAGTTTTTTTATTTTATTTTTTTATTTAGTGCTTATATTATTATATTTTATTTATTTATTAATTTTTTATTTTAATTTAGTTTATTATATTTTAATGTACTAAATTTAATTTCATTTACTTTAATTTATATTATTTTATTTCATTTTATTTTTATTTTTTTAATTATTTTATTTTATTTTATTTTATTTNATTATTTATTTTATTTTAATTAAATTTATTTTATTTTATATTATTTGTTTTCGATTTGTTTCTCTTATTTCATTGTGGTTTTAACTCTTTTATTTTGCATCAATTGAGTGTACTCATTTGAATGGGTTGTTGTTTGTGTTAATTTCAGGTTTGACAACTTAATTGAACTGGCGCTGATTGGAGACACCTTTGCACATGCGCGGTGACTCTTTCTGCTGCATTTTATCGTTAAGAAATCAACTGCAAGTAAGTTGCAACTATACTAGAGCTATAAAAATAAGCATTTGCTTTGGAAATATATAATTAAGCATGGCATAACCCAGCAAGCAGTAAACTTTTTGTTGCTGGAAATATATTGCGATTTAACATTCCACCCAATTTAGAAAAAGTTAATATTTAGGCAAATGCAAAAGAATTGCAATCTCTTCTGAGACTATTCCAAGTATTTTAATTTAATTTGAGGCATTTTTTTCTTTTATTAAAAATAAACCCGAAAATAAAAGTTTATGGGCAGCCCAAGAGTGTGGTGCTGAAGTAAAGGTAAAGCGAAGAATTCATATACCCACACACACATATATATATATATATAAGGTTATACAACTACTGTTGCCGTTCTTCTGCTTGAGACTTTTTTTAGACTTAACCAAGTTTAAAAGATATATATATTTAATATAACATTTTATTGCTCATATATATGTATGTACATGTATGTATGTATGTATGAGTTTGCATACGTCAAAGCGTTGGCCAAACAACTGAGGCCAACTTGATTGCTGAAAACATGTATTTAATGTGCTGAGAAGTTGGTGGCGGCTCCTAGTCGTGGCTGGTCTGCGATCGTTGAGTGTGGCTTAGGGCTTTTAAAGAAGTGTACCGTTAAAATAAAAAATATTTCTACCGCAACGAATAACAGGTATGGTGAATAAAAAGTCACGTAAAAATATTAAAAATATTAATATATATATTGAACAAATTGAAATTAATTAAAATTACACATAATGGAAAAATGTAAAAATGTAGTTAACGGTAACGCGTGTACAGAAATGATCTAAAAATTACAATGAAATATGTACAAAACGGAGCTGTGTTAATGAATGGTTTGCAAACAAAACTTTGCCACGAAAGCAGATTTTTTCGCAGCATAATTGTAGTTGTGCTGTTCATAATGAAATATACAATAACAAATAATAATGTGCATATGTACATTTATGCAAAAGCAACGAAAACAATGTGGTGCTGTAAAATTTATTTTGCCAACTTCTGTGTCAAGTGAAAATTTTATATAAATTAAAATAAAAAATTATCGAGCCAATTATTGCGGTTAAAATTAGTTATAATTACTGTAAAAGTTACATTGAAATGCTGAACTTTTTATTTTTCTGTTAGTAAATTAAAAACAAATAATACTATATACACAGTATACATACATATATGCTTTTTTCACAGCCAAATTAAATTTAAAAATGAAAAAGGTGTTTCAATTAACTACAACTTTTTTCAATTTATAATTTTTTTTTATTTTTTTTTAATTTTTAATTTTTTAAACAAATATTATTAAACATAAATTGAAACATACATACATAAAGTATATAAAAAAAAAATTTTATTTTATTTTCTGTAATTTTGCAATTTATATTAAATCCTTCGTATTTTTAAAAAAATTTTAATGAAAAAAAATAAAAAAAATTTTATGAAAAAAATTAAGTAAATTTAAAATAAAATAAATGTTTATTTAATTTACATAAAAAAATATTTCGAAGTAATTTTAATAGCAAAAAAATATTTATAGCTTATTAACTTTGACATTTTATAAAAATAAATAATATACATACACTTTTAATTTCCTTACAGTTTTATAAAAAAATATTCTGAAGTAAATTTAATAACAAAAAAATGTTTGAAACAAACAGCAACTTTTTTTTTAATTATAAAATTTTTGCATAAAAATAGAAAAAATTTTAAAATAATTAATAAAATGTTTTTCTTTTCAATTGTTGTGTAAAAAAATATTTTAAACCGAATTTGATAGAAAGAAATATATAAAGAAATATTTAATTTAAAATAAATAAATAAATATAAAATATTTCGATTAATTTAAAAAAAAAAAAAAAAAAATATTTGCATGCATAAAAAATTCAAGGAAAATTAAAATTTTTTAATTTTAAATTCAGCAAAAATATATAAATTTTTTTGAAATGGAAAAATGTATGAATGTTTTTTTTTCTTTTTAAAAAATTGTATTTTTTTAAAATAAAATTTTTATAAAATAAAAATACAAAATTTTCTAAATAAATTTAAGGAAAAATATATCTGTAAATTGATTAAAATTCTTTGAAATTACTGTTTTCTTATATTTTTATTACAAAAATATATTCTATTGTAAAAAAAAATAATTTGAGTTAAATCTATAAGAAAAAATATGCATTACGCAAAAAAAAAAAATTGTATTTATAAAATTTTTTTTTAATTTTATGTATTGAAAGGAAATAAAACTTCGTTGTTAGAAAGAGCGAAAGGCCTTGTTTGTTTGTATGAATTGAATATGTTTTTGTTATACAACAAAGAAAAATGGTTTCAGAGATCATCACATATCCTCATCAGACTGCTTATAGCAGGGATCGAACCAACTTTCATTAAAAAAAAAGTAAAATTTTTATTAAAAATAAAGTTAGCTAAATTAATAGCAAAAATATAAAAATATAAATAAATTGTTTTTTTTTTTTAATTTTTTTTTAATTTAAATATTATCACTATTTATAATTTATAAATATTTTTATGTATTTATAAATTAATAGCAACAATATAAATAAATTTTTTTTTTAAATAATTTTTTTAATTTAAATATTATTATTATTTATAATTTATAAATATTTTTATGTTTTTATTAAAAATAAAATTTTTTACACTATAACACACGTAATATTATTATATTTTTATTAAAAAAAAATAATCAACAAATATTTGCAATAGTAAAAAGCAGTTTTTTTTTGTTGAAAAAGCGTTTTAAGTAAATTTAATAACAAACAATTGCCAGATAAAAATATATTTTTTTTTTTGACTACCGAAGCATTTAAAATTTGCAACAAATACCACAAATAAAATACACATTAACAGCAGACACCAGTGAACCGCAGAAATTGTTTACAGACAAATTCGTGCAACTAAATATTTTTATGATAAAAAAAAAAATTGCAAAAAATTAGTGAAACATCAAAAACAAATAATTTTAATTTTTTTAACCACGAATTTTTTTTCCACCAGTGTTTACTAAAAGTTATAACGTTTTCTATATCTCACCTACTCAGCTCGACACAAAAACAACGTAAAGTAACAGTTTTGCGGCAATTAAATCTAAAATGGCGTTTTTGAAAATTTGCCTATTCGCCATTGTTGTTGGTAAGTACAGTGGAAGCACATGTTTATTTACTACTGAAAAAAAAACATACTTAGAAATGTATTTATATTAACTATTTTTATGTGCAATATGTTTATTTAATTTCATTTTATTCATTAACAAAATTTTCTTCAGCACATAATATATATATGTATTTATGTATGTGTGAAAGGTCCTGCGAGTGTGTGTTTGTGTGCGCTTCTAGTTAATTTAAGTAAAATTAATGAGCGAGTAAGTGTTTAAATTATAATAGTAATGAGTTGTTTTTAGTCTAATGAGTTTAATTAAATGCACGCACACACACACCTTTTTCAACGAAAAACCGCGTGATTTATATGTATCAGGCATCCGTAAATTGGTTGAACGTTGGGTGTGGATTGCCGAACATGATGGCGAATACATAATTGATTAATAAAAGCGCTTTCTTCAAAAAATTTCAATTTTAGTTTGCACTTGAAATCGGGCACGAACTTATGCACTCATCCAATATATATGTACATACATCAACATATATGCATAAGTATTCATGTCAGCTCGCTTTGGTGTAAATGCAGTTTTCAATAAATGATAAAATATTATTTTTTACCATGCCACATTTTTAATAAAGAAAATTAATGAATTCTTCGTTAAATAATTCGGTGACGACGGCTAAAGGGGTGGTCTCTCTTCGCTCTCCCCTATGAACTGAGTGAGTTAGATATTTAAGCTGCTATAAGTGGGTGCCGTTGTGTCCAAAACAGGTCCATCGTGATACCAGCCGAATTGCTCTGAGCCTCTTTTCTACTTTTCAATCGACTTCGAATCCCTTTCTCTTTAGTTTCTGCCTTATAACAAAGGCTTTCCGTAAACTGAACTTCAATAGACCAAAATCTACTTCCATTTAAAGCAAAAAAGTGGTATAAATTCGTATCTTCACGCGCGTTATTGCTGCAGCTCCTACAGGAACCTCTGTAAGCGGCTTTTAACCTCATTGGCAGTCATCCTTTAAGGTTATATTCCATGAGAATCCCAGCTACCTTTGAAAAGTGCGCAATTCTCAGAATTTATAGACCCTTCGAACTTCTCTGATGCGCTTTCGGACAAGTTTGCATAAACTTACGACCGAAGAAGGCTCCTATCGGCCTAAATGCCTTCTTTCAGAAGCAGTTAAAGGCATCGCAAGGCGTTTTTTATTCGTAAGAATCTGCTTGGTCGTACCTTGCCTAGAAAGTTCGAGTGCATTGCTGTTCTTCACTATAGATTTGTGATCACTCACTCCAATGGCGGATGGTTTGCTCGACTCAGTTGCCTCCTAAAGATATCTGTGTCAGTCCGGCACGGCGGGTTAGAGTCTAGAGCATTTATTGTTGGTTGAAGATGCGTTCTTCTGGCTATTCCTTTCCAATGTGCTTGAAAGCTATCATTACCTGGAGCTTCAATAAGTTCCAATGAGAGCTGCCTACGTCAATTTTGACCTACATTTCTTATAGAGCCTATCATCTTGAGACAACAAAGGCATCAAGTTTTAGTTTCCTTCGTCTCTTTAGGATTTTTTAAACTGTGGCAACTAAGGTTCAGAGCGAGCTAAGCAAAACTACCAAGTCTTTTTACTCCTCTTCATTCTCATTCTGCCAAAAGCTGATACAGTAAACGTCAGGTTGTTTTATAAGTTTCACTAAATAAGTACCAAATGGACAGTGAGTGAGTGAGTCCTCATCAGAAGCAAACTACTAGTTTACTGGGTGCAAGGAGATCACCGGGTCTACCGAGACTCGAAATGGCACAGTTGGATCTTGCGACGGAGCTCGTATTGGTATATGCTCAGTATTTTTCTAGTTTACGTGAGTTTCATTACTTCAGTAGGAAAGTCTTAAGTATCTAAATACACCCTTATCCGCAACCGGTTCCGTAACCGGTGATATCGACTGAAGAGTACTCTTTCTTGTAATGAAAATTTTCACTGCAGCTGCCATTCAGATTGGTCTTCAGCAAGTCGAAAAATAACTTGTCACTATAAAAAGCAAATCAAGCCGTCTTTCGATTGCTTTGAGCGCAACGTAAATGCCTTCAGAGTCTGTGTAGTCATCTCCGAGTAAAAAAGTTCTCAAATGTAATGAGTTCTTGTTTGCCGGTAGCTTAGAACTGTAGATGAATTTTATTTTGATTTCTCATCAGAACTCCGACCGAGCCGACGGACCCGGCCATCTAGGTTCCTTCCTTTCAGACACTCTGACTTGTTCTATCACCTCTAGTCGGAATGAAGGCAATGAAGTGCTTCAGAGAAGCTCATGAAGCCGAAACTCAAACTCCTGTTCAAAATGGGAGCCAACTTCTGTTGTGTTAGCGTCGCAGGCAAAGCTTTTCTATGCTGTCGACTTCATCTAATGGTTGGATATCAATTAACGCGCTTTTTCGACGAGTTCGCACCAAGGGAACTCTGCTTCGGTTAACGCGTAAGCCCATCTTTTCCAAGAGTAACGACTTATCACCGCAGTGTGAGCTGGGCAATCAAAATACCATTCAATTGCTAAAGGGTTGCTGAGCAAATGTTGCCACAGAGTAAGGTTCGCTATGACTTTTACCACTTCACATCAACTGTATTTGTTGTGCGCCCTTTCATGTGGCTCTGCTGGCAGTTGCTGTTGCTGTTTTTGCGAACTTTAAAAGGCCCAACCACTCGTCTACCGTCCACTTGCTGAAATGACCACACCTCTGCACTGCTTCAAGCTCCCAGCTGTGCGCAAGTATCCATAAGCTATCAATACTCAATCAGCTTCTTAGCTACCAGTTGTCAAGTGGTTTTCCTTCAGTGCGTTTGCGTGTGCGTGCGTGTGTCTGGAATGTTGATGTCTTCATTTACTGTCAATTGAACGACCAACTGAGGCTGTGCGTTTATAGTCTATGTAGCTCGTATGTATATACACGTGTATCCTTCTTCTTCACATCTGCTTTGGCAACAAGCGTGTGCTCCGAAAACCTGTCTCTTTTATGGTTTTGTTTGCTTTGTTATGAAACGTGGTGCCCGTCCGTCCATTCGTCCATCCATTTGTCGTACGTCGTCTCTCGTGGCAACAACCATAGACAATTGGTGGGTCTTCTTGTACACGCTTGACGTGACCTTAAAAGTGAAAGCTGGACGTTGCTAGCGTGTTTTAAAGCGGTTTTTATTATTGTTGTTATTGTTTTTTTGTTTTTGTGGTTTCTCGCTTGACTAAAAACTTGTTCTTCTGCCTTACTAGACATTGGTCGCTTGTAAATATTTATCTTTTAAAATTATTGATGTTTATTTCCATTAATTTTATCGCTTGCGTTGCCTTCTCAAGTTACGTAAGCGGCTCTGAGGCTGTGCGGGCTGCATGTATTCGTGAAGATGTGTGTAGATATCGGCTCAGTATGGCAGCGATTTTTTTTTTGTTTGGTTAGTAAATCCAAGTTCTGATAGGAGTAGGATGAGGTAGGAGGTACTTTGGTCGCTAGTCTTTCTTTTTTCAGTTAAATTGTTTTTCTTCTTCCTCCTCCTTACAGGTGGCGTAGACGCCGCTTACCCAGTCATTTGCCGCCAATTTTAAACAGCAGTGGAAGCCAGGACCTTTACCATCTCATCCTACCAGCGTAGCCGAGATGTTAGTCTTGCTCTATTTCACTTTCCTTCGAAAACTCTTAAGCCAATATCCAATTTTATATACCTCAAAGCTGGTTGGGTAAGATGATCAGCTTGTAAAGCCTGCTTTCTGTTCAGCGCATGAGTAGGAGAAGGTTAAATTACTCTCCCATTAGTCTGTTATAATTAATGATAAATCTGCCCTTTAGCTAGTTGAGCCTGGGGTTAGAGCTCTCAGGGAGTGCTCATACCTCTCTATCTACACTTCAGCTACTGGTTTTCTGGGATTAGCTCTTACTAATTTTCTTACCGATTTTCGGCTACCGAGTCGCTTGTACAGTCAGTATGTGAGAAGTTCATGTTAAAAATAAAATCCCTCATGATGCAATAACGTCTCATGCGGGGAGAGCGCATTAAGAAACACTTTACAAATATTATTCTTGTGACGATTCGATAGTTGCTCGATTTTCACTCCCTCCATTGAGTTTCCGAATAGAGCCGGTAGAGCGCAGACACGTCATATACGATTTTTTCACTAAGGAACGCCTTTTTCAAGAGTCCTCTCTCGAAATTTTGTCTGAAGTTGACCTGCTTAATGCCGAAAAAGTTTAATCTAATTGTCTCCGTGCATACTCTTAGAGTCATAACTAAAGGAGATCCTGTCTATTGCTTCATTAATCTTCATGATTGTGGCAAATCACTTATGGCACTCCACAAGGAAGCAGTTTGTTTTCGCTGCTAATGAATGATAAGTCTCTGTTACTCTCTCTGCAGACAAATATTCCAAAGAGAGCGCTTGAAATCTTAATAGGAAAAGGATCTAAATCTGAAAAAAAATGAGATCTTAGACTCAACATCTTTACATGAAAATTTCACAAGACTTCCCAAGTTGGTTAAGTATCTCGCTGCGGTTCTGTGGTTCTAGACACAAACTTTAGGTGGAGAGAAAATGTTAAAAAAAAAAGAATTTGCAGGCAGAGATTTGGAATGTCTGAAGTAAGAGCATACCGAGAGTAGGGTTAACAGCAGGCCGAAACTACTACCATAGATATTAACTCAAGAAGGGCTCGGGTAGTTTAGGTAAGAGCCAAGCCTCTAGGAGATTGTGAAGCCCAATATAAATGGACAGATCCCAAATACGTGTCCCTACCAAGTGTGTTCTTTGGTGTTCTCTCCAATAACCTTAGCAGTCTCGAGCTCAATGACTATAACTCTGTCTTCCACGCAGAGATTTCGGGTATTACTGAAGCTGTCAAACGGGTAATCGCTGTCTCAGTAAAGTCCATTAGGTTTCTTGCAAACAGCCAAGTGGCAAATAAATCTATGTAGATAAAGTCCTCATGTGTGGGCACGTGTAAAGAGGCTATTGGCAGACTTTCAAGGGGACAGCCTAGTGAAAATTTTTTGGGTCGCAGGTCACAC